GAGACTCACTCGCAGCGAGCGCGAGCTTTGAGCTACTTATTATGAGCCGTTTGTAGGAGTAGGAAGAAGAGATTCAGACTAATCGTCGAAGAGTCGTCTGCAGGAAAGTCTAGAAAGAAGACAGTCCATCGCCGGAATAAGATCACGTTCATAGTATGAATAATATGATATTATCATCATTTGATAGTTAAATAGTTTAAATGGAACTCAAATCAAGCTACTAAAATACAATATAATACAAGTTTGTAGATTTATTATTATGAAAATAATTCATAATACATAATAATTATAACATCTCACATACATATATAAACATGCATTCACATATGCATAGTGCGAATAAGCCCGAAATGTTAAGCAACATACAGTGTATCTAAGTAATGCAGTTCTTGCACTCATTACTACTATTCCTATCAAGGGTAAAGCTTCAATTTTTAATACTCAATGGAATTAGCTGAATTTTTCCTTATTAATTTCTTAATTTTAGTACATACTAAATAATCTATTAAAATGAGAGTTATCCAATCGTATGAGGTGTATTTATTTAACTAGAGCTGTAATACCATTTGCTTACAAATGCTCAATGCCATTCAAATGCTCAAATTATGCTAAAATGAAATATAATATAAAATCTATAATAAAAGCGAATTAAGCTCTTCATCAAATCATCCCATCTCTCTCTCTCTATTTTCTCTCATCGAAAAGTTTTCTTCAATGATTCAAAGCCCAATCTTATATTGCCCATCTTCAAGACCCGATAATTCAAAATGGCAAAGGGATAAATTTTTGTTTCGATTTACACAGAAATTCAAATTATCGAGAATTATTGAGAACGAATTTCATTCAAGAGGATAGAATTTTTTCGATTTATCGCGATTTTCGATTTAGCGAGGTACGAATTATCGAGACTCAACTGTAATATACAAGCCATATATATTATACTTTGAATAGCAAATTGWTAGAAAAGATTCCACTTCCGCCCGTACATCTTTAATCCAGGTATTACGAAAGGGAATGTAATGTGATTATTATTCGAATTGAATGCAGTCTTCAATTGATTTCAAATTGATTTGACTAATGCAGGCACAGACCGAGATAGTATATGTATTTTACAGTTACCTTAACAGCTCGCCTAATCTACTAGGGATTCATCCCCAGCTCTGCAACAACGCATTGCCCTTTTCCTTTTATAAATCAATCACATTGTTGATATTCGATAGCTGCCGCTCCTCAGACGCAAATACTAATTGAGAACTGCCCAATGGTTGCTGGGCTTGGAATATTTTGAAGATGTTTTGCTTGAGCGGGCTTTGGATTGGCCTTAGCTAGACTCCATGCATCTTCATCTGAAGCTGGCAGGGAGATCCCAACTGCTCGGCCGCCGGGCCAGACCATACGTACGGCACACTTTGATTAAAACTTTTGTCCTAGCACACACAGGCGGGGGCCACAGGGCGAGAGAGTCGGGGAAGCTGGCAGCTGGGTGGACGAGTCGTGGCGTGGGTGTGGGCAAAGGCCAGCTGCATTTATTGCTTGTTATTTAAGATTTATAAATTTAAATATCTTTGAGCGACCAACTCCTAAGTACTCCGTTGCCTTTACAACTTTGCTTAAGCTTTGACTGACGCTAGACAAACGCGCACAACTTTGTCCTCAATGTGCCAGTCCCTCCCTCTTCGCTCTCGCCCTCTCTCTCATCCCTGTCCTTGTCCTCGTCCTCGTCGTCGTCTTTCGAAACAGCTCTCTCATATTGCTCCTTGTTATAGTTGTTGCTGGCTCTTTTAGTGTTGTTGTTATTGTTTTGGCTGATGCAAGATGGCCAATTTGTCGGAAAGCAACGCTTCGCTCGCTCCGCACCCCCCGCCTCGCTATAGGCATTGACTGGCGCAAGATCAAGTTTAAATTTGGTTTTAATTTAATAAGATGCGAGCTAAACACTGGCTCGGCGCGGATATCCTTTACTATTCTGCTCACCAAGGGTATATTCTGCTCTAAAAGTGCATCTAGATAGACAAATAGAAGTACATTGTCTCAGCATACATTGGAGTCGATCGATAGTTATTTATGTCGATTATCCAATAGAGCAAAAAGATGCTCTGGTGCTTCCTAATAAATAAAGAAAAAAAAATAAGATCAATTATCTGAATATGTTTTGTTGTTTTATGTTTTCCATAAGTATACAAATTAGCCCAGATCGTCTCTACCTCTCTTTCCTTTATTATCGCTCACCAATTCATTATCTTCTTTAGCCCATCTCTCTTACCCGTAAATAAATAAATCATCATCTTTCTTTTCCTCTTTCAGTCTTATCCTCTTTTTCACTTGATCTTCCTCTCTTGTTATCTCCCTCGTTCTCCTTCTTTCTCTATGAATTTGTTGCCTTCTGTCTCTCCCTATCAATCCTTTTCACAATTATACTATTTTTCCCCCTTTCAGACAGCTCATTTATTTATCTCCCTCTCTCCCCCCCTCTCTCTCATTCTCTCTCTCTCTCTCTCTCTATCTGTCTCTTTACTGTTTCCATCATTCATTATCCTTTCATTTATCTCTCTATCTCTCTCACTCTCTCCCTTTCTCTGAGTCTCTCTATTATTCATCCCTCTCTCTTAGATAGTATTTTTCACTATGTTCCTCATTCTTTTTGTCTCTCTCTATTGCAGTCTCTCACTCTCACTCTATGTCACTCTCACTCTCCTCGCTCTTTTTCTCGTGCTCTTTTGTCTCTTTCTCTCTCTTCCTATCTCTATCTTTGTTGCTCTCTCTCGTCCTCTCTCTATCCATATATTTCTCTCCTGCCATTTCTCACTCCCTCAATTTAGTCTGTCTCTCTCTCTCTCTCTCTCTCTGTCTCTCTCTCTCCCTCTCTCTTTCAATCATTATTTCTCATGCCATTCATAGAGACATACAGGGTATTTGCTTACCGATCATTTAACAGTTCGCCACAGACATTCTCTGCGTCTGTCTCTTACAATAATTTATCGCGCTTAAATGGCGACAAAATGTTCGCTCTTATTGCGTTCTCAACTTATTTATTTTGCGTACGTGTCAACGCGTCGTCTCTGAATGCCTTCCCCGTCTGCTAGTTGTCTGTCCTCGATTTCCATGCTGGTGTCAGGGGCTGATTTGTGTGTGTCTCTCTATGTGTTTGCGTGTGAATGTGCGTGTCTCTGCGTCTGTCTGTGTGTGTCTTGATATGTGTTTGCTTTGCGGGTGTTTGTCTGCGTCTCCATCACCCTTGGCATCGTCTTCATCTTCGTCTTCGCCCTCGCCGTTGCCATCGCCATCTTCGTTTCCATTTGCGAGCACCTTTGTTTATTTAATTTATGGCATATAAATATTAGAGCGAGCTTATTTCAACTATTTAATTACTTCAGGTGTGCGTTAAGTTGTTTGCTTTGCCCTGGAAATTAAACGTGAGCTTTTCCCACCGCTGCTTTGCATGCATCAGAGCCACCGCAACCTGAGGCTCTGAGGCTTTGAGGCTCCGGCAACTAATAGTTTTACAGCAGCTCTAAGCAGAGCATTAAAGGCAACAACAACAACAGCAAGAATAAAACAGAAAAGAAGAGAGAAATCCTTTCGACGAGGTCACCCGGCCAGGAAGCAGCACCATTGAGTGTTTAATTAAATGTCCTTATGCAGACGTAGCCGCTGTAGCCTGGCGTGGCTCGGTGGTGCGGCATAGATGGCTTGGCTGCTGTAAGTAGAGTAACTCGAGTTACGCGAGTGCTTTGCAGCTTTGCTGCTTTGGTGCTGCCACTGCTGTGTCTGTGGATAGCTCGAAAACAGCAGTGGCTTCCATCCATGCCAACACCTGGCCTGGCCCTTAAGCCACCTGAGCGGAGGTGCGCTTCACAAAAGGAGAGACAGGCAAACTGCTTTTAATTGCAAACTGGGTTTGGCATCCAAATGCGCACAAGATGGTGAAGCGGCGGGGAGGAGGAGTAGGAGTGGGTGGAGTTGGTGGATACGACAACTAATGGGGCAGCTGCCCCACAAAATGAAAGAAGCGTAAAAAGTGCGTAAAAGCGGGCGCCCAGCAGTTACGCCCCGCCTCCACGCCCCCTTAAAAGGTGAACAACGAAAATGATCAACTCGACTTGTTGTCCGTTAGCCAGAAGTGGGTACACTTGGCATTCCATCCACTACACTTTCACTAAACGTCTCCCTCTTGCTCTTCCTCCCCCTCTTGCTGCCCATTGCAAGCAAAGCTGTCGTAAACTGTCGTTGAACCCGGCGAAAGTTGGCAACAACTGACGTTTATTTGACTGCAGCTGTCAGGCCAGTTAGACGTGCAGAAAAGCTCCGAGCCATCTAGTCCAGCGGAGATGGACCTTAGACGAGTGGCTTGTCGGTTGGCTGGCTGGCTGGCTGGTTGGCTGGCTGTCTGGGTGGCTGCTTGGGTGGTGGGGCTGCAACTTGTCGCGCGTAATTACACAAGCCAATTCAACACACACACACACACACACACACACACACACACACACACACACACACGCACACAGGGGCACTAATACACGCATGCGAATCATAGCTTTTACACTGCGCGATTCGTTTGCTGCCTGCGATAGATGTTAATGCACACATCCAGAACAGACCCCCCCTCCACCCTACCTCCTCTTCGACCACGCCCCCCACTTACCAATTAGAAAGTGTTGCACGACATAGCGGGCCTCATGTCGTGATGTGAGGCGGGCAGGCCAATGGCAAGCAAAAGCCAGTGGCCACAGGGCACTTCAAGCTTCTCCACATTCCAGCCCCTGAACCCTGCCCCTACCAGCGTTCCCGCCCCGCTGGCCATCGCTCCTCACAGTGTTTATAAAGTGCCAACAACAGCGCCGCCCTCGCAGCCAGTTAAAGTTTTGTGCTCAACTTTCTGCGCACTGCACAAAATGTGAAAAATGAAGCAGCAGTCGAGCGGCGCCCCAAAACCCAGTGGCATGCAGCAGCGAGCAGTTAACGGCCTGGCAGCCCACAGCCCACAACCCGCAGCCCACAGCCAACAGCCCACAGCCCACAGTTCACAGTTCACAGTCGACAGTCCGCAGCCCACAGCGCAACATTCAGCATTCAGCATTCAACATTTTTATGACCTTGCACAAAAGTTGCAGTCAAGCGTCCAGCCGTCCAGCCGTCCAACCGCCCAGCCCTCCAGCCAGCCACCCACTCGTTTGTCATTATGATTTGTTTTTAATGTAATGCAACAGCAGCGAAAGCGAATTTGCAACAAATTGTGCGCGTTAATCTTGTCAATGGCCAAGTGCGAGCCAGCCAGCTGCAACTGCAACTTTAACTTTTGGCCCAGCTGCAACTGCAACTGCAGCAGCAGCAGGAGTAGGGGTAGCAGCCCTTGTTGCTGTGCAAGCGCCTTGCCACTTTGAATGTTGCAAGCCAGCAGAGCCCAGGCAGCTTAGCGCTAAAGTGCGTGGCACATTCTTCATGCCTTCGCTACGAGAGTATTCCAAATTTATCACGAATCCTGCGACACTGAGCCATGTACACAGACAGACATGAGAGTGTCAGGCCGGGCCTGGCCACCTGCATCTGTCTGTGCGGCTTAGTGTTATTCCCCAGAGCGCAGTCTGGTGGCGACACGCGCAATAATGCTCGTAATGATAATGAAATTGATGATTATGATTGTTACAATTCCGATTGTGGCACATGAATAATAATTGTTTGGGGGTACGAGAGGCCGCTAAGACTACATCTTCATTCGAATCATAATAATAGCAGTCATAATAATATAAATGATTGCAAAGATAACACTGATAATAATACTGCAAATGATATTTATAATAATACA